TACACATGAGAAAACAACAGACAAAAATTTAATTCTTGGGCATGGTAGATAGTAGCATAAATATTTATTTTTCTTCACCAATTAATTTCAATTTAAAATTAAAATATTATTTTTCATAATTAAAAAAAAAACTAATAAATTTACAATCACAAAAAGAGAAGGTGGTGGAAAAATACAAACAATAAATGCAAAATAATAATAATAATAAGTGGGAAAAAAAAAGAAGATAATTAGGATCGGTATCCGAGGCACGTGTCACTATCATGGTCTTTATAAAGTGCTTGAGACGTACGGTGTGGCCCACCACCAAAATAATAATATTATATTACATGATTTATTTGGAATCATAATACATGACCTACATATGGGTAATTATACGGTACAAGACCCTACACCATAGTCCCCACTCATCTCTTTGACTGTTCCGTCAATCAACTTTGACTTCAGTGGGTCCCACTATAAAGGCCACGTGTACGGCTACACCTTTTTCCTCGTATGACTAAACTTAACCTAACTCTAGTACTCGAGATAGTATTTTTAAATTAGATCCTTTCCTTTTTCCTCTCCCTTTTTCTAAAAATAAATTAATAATTCGGAGAAATTTTAGAAATATTCCTGTGTACCCACGTGCCAGCTGTCGATTTTAAATTTTAAAAAAAAATAGTTATAAATTCTGGTGACGTGCTCCCCGTGAGTGCTGGAGGAGGATAGATTCATGGGACGAGAAATATAATACAGTCCATGTCCGTACGATGACGTCACGGGTTCTAGTGATATCGTGTCACTGTAGGGGTAAATTCGTCATCTTCCACTGTTCAAACTTTGACTCTACCGTTCCTACATTTACGTCTGTTCAAACCTCCAACTTCAATTATTTTGTTTCTTCTTTTAAAAAAAGAATAATAAATACCTGAATTATTGATGAGTATTTCGATCATTATTAAATCTTATTTATTATTATTATATTATTTATTGGCTTTGAATTTCCAAAACTAATTCAGAATCGTATAAAAAACGGTCAAATTATTGTAATAGGTAGGCACCATATGATAATCATTTAATTAATGTAATTAATAAAAAGATTTTTGCATTTTCGTATTATAGGGTAACATTGCTACTTATCCCAATCACACTTTTCTTAGCATAGACTCTTATGAATATGCAATACTCATTCCCAATACTGAGTGAGTCAAGTCAATTTTGGATCATATCGCCTATGACATAGGCAGAAAAAAATGTTTTAGAAAATGAGTTTGAAAGTAACGTTGAAAGAAATATTAAATGCCACATTATCTGATTAACAGCAAAAGGGAACACAACGACCTAAATAACATATAATTTTTTAGAGAGGGAGAATTCGACAACTAATCGCATCCCTCTACAGTAAATTATGAAACATTTCATATCTAATAGGTCTAGACATGATTCTGTCGAAATGTCATACACTTTGAAAATATAATAAGGAAACTATACATCATGAAAGTAATAAAGTGATTTGGCATACAACGTACATGCGGCATGTAATTTCAATTTATTTATGTACCTCTCATTTACTTAAACGTTACGTATTTTCATTATTATTAAACTTTATTATAAGATTAATATGAAATATGAACTAAACAAAAGCCTAAGTAACTTAAATTATACATACATATTCGAATTGATAACAAAAATCAGCTTAAAAACAGGCATGTGATTATGTTCATATTGTACCCAACAATCGTGATCTCCAAGATATCATTATCAATCTCTTCGTCTCCTTTTTCTTTACAACATATATTCTCTTCCTTAAAATCCACAGTAAAATAATCTTAAATAGTAAAAATTTAATCTTTAAATAAATTAAAAAATCAAGGAATCATTTCCTTTTAAAAAAAATCTTATCCAAATTGTTTGGTACCATGCAATCCCTTTTAAGACAGTCGAGATTTGTATGGATAGACATTTAGATAATTCATTTTGTTTTATAGTAATCTAAGATGATCAAATATCATCTCTTGAGTTTTGGGTATCCTCCTAAAACACGAATTCAAGCCTGACATCAACATATTCCTAATAGACGCGACCTTAGGCTGTTATAGTTGGTATTAGAATTAGAAATTGAAGGTGTGCTAACCAGGACACTGACCCGTACATAATACACGAAGGGTAAAAACTTACCCAAAATTGAATTAATGTATAGATTATATCTTTTTTAATTATGCCTAATAATAATTAACCAAACTAAATGTCTAGCATAATTTTATTTTCAAAATTTAGATATTTTTGTCATACAAATTTTTAGTGGTCCACGTGCTAACGCCAGACACGGAGACGGTTGGGATCTCATGTGACAATCCTGATTGGACTTTGCATGTACGTGAGCTTTGTCAATTGCAGCTTTTCTTCTTTGTTAAATTTATTTATTTTTAAAAATTGAGCTTTTTTTTTGGTTTTTTTTTTTTCATGAGCCTAAATATAATGCATTATTTTTTAACAAAAAAATATCGATTATTATTATTATTAATTATTTCGGCTTTTTATTTAAAACCTTTCCATTAACAAAATTATTGCACCTATTTATTTTATACAATAAAATCGCCCATGTTTATCCAAATTTATTATGAAATATAAAAATTGACTTCCATGTAAATTACTTTTTGGTGATTGGTCCAAAGGAAAAGGCCTAAAAAGCTTCCAATATTTGATTTTTCAAGGGGGTTTTATTTATTTATTTATTTATTTATTTATTGGCATAAATTACTTTATTTAATTGAAAATTGTGGCATACGTGGGGCATCTCTATTTGGCCATAATTATATTTTAGTACCCCTAGCTACTTTTTGTTTTGTATTTTTTATCTATTTATTAAATGAAAATTTTCTAAAAAATAATTCGTAGTAAAGTAATTTTATCAAGTGAAAATAGGAATAAATTCTATAAAATTTCTTTTCATAGAAATACTTCAAATAAAAACGTAAAAAATAAACTAAAAATACCAAATTAACTATAAAAAAGATATCAAAACTAAAACTTCAAATTTATTTTTTTAGATTATTTAATTTCCATTTATACAGGGCTAAAATGGTCATTTGACATAGAGATAGGGTCAAGAGGGCGGCTATATGCCTTTAAAGCAATATACATATAATTGGATTCTTCAATTTTATTTTATTTATTTTTGCTAAAATCTCATATTAGAAAAAGGGCACGTGTTTTTAGGACGTCCCACGTGACCTCATTTATTAAACACATTATTTTAACTCTATGAATTTGTATTTATCACTATTTCTTAAGATTAAAAAATGTTAATGTTTTTTTGTCATATATCTCGAATATTAAAAAAAAGACAGGTAAAAAATATTGTTTTTATTATTATTATTATTATTATTATTTACCAATTTGAACATAATTCACTGTATAAAATAGTAAATATCATTATTAATTTAAATCTCTAACCTTTTTCAAATAAATTAAAAGACATAATGTATTGGATCAAAGATTCAGAATTTAATCTTTCTGACAGAGAATTAATATATTAGAAAAATCTTTAAAATTCCGTACAAAATTTGATTCTCTCATTGGCCCTATGTCTCTTATTTCTCAGGGATTTTTCTCTATTAGTAGGTTACGGGATTGTAGACATACCTATATTTTTTAGTCTCAATAGGACTCCTTACGAGCGTTGTTTCTACTTACTACTGGCTCAAAGTATCAAAGTTATTAATGACTAGATGAAACCAAAACACAACATTTAAACTTGTTGAATAGCATCTCATCAAATTCGACTAAATAACGATCTAAGACTCATAAAAATCAACTTTATAAAAACCTTATGTGATCGTGATAACCCTTATTACATTTTCTCGAGAAATAATACTTCATTAACTCGTTATAAAGAAAGAATAAATTTGAGTCGGAATCAAAGGACAAAGAAAACTAAAGGGATATCTTTAGAAAAGGTCAAAGTTGATTAGATGAACAGAGAGTTGTTAGGACTCAAGGACATATACTTTATAACAAGGTCAAAGTTCTCAATACCACCTCATTATGGGGAAACAGATAGAATCTATGTCTATATCTAGCTTTTTTTTTTTTTTTTTCACTCTCTTAATAATGCAAAGATATTGTTATAGGTGTGGATATGGGCCAACATTCCCGAACGGCCCAAAAAACCCGAAACGGAAGGGTGCGCTTGCAAGGCTGCATGACCAAGCCCACGAGCGTCGCTCAATGTCTAAAGAGTGCAAACAAAGTCTCACGTTAGTTTCTTTGTTAATATGAATAATTTTGATTAGGATATGAATTACTTAGGTAAAAAAATGTCAATATTATATTAATTTGAAAATATGTGGAAGTTTGTGTCGATATCATAAAATGTCAATATCATATTAACGCTAGTTGTGTATCAGAAAAAATCCTCACATGTCGAGTAAAAAACCGGTAAACTTTCAATTTTATTAAATTGAATTTTAAGTAATGTTACCTTCGTATCAATTTCGACTAATTCGTCCACAAATTTTAGTAGAAAAATAGTATAAAAATCTTTATAATCTTATTAATTTTCATACAATAAAGTTTTAATTTAAAATAAGTTTTATCCGATGAATAATTTTGCTCAAGTTTATAAAATCAAAAAAAAAAAAAAACTATAATTTTGTTTTTTTTTTTCACCTTCTAAAACATAATCAGTACAAATGTTTTATAATTTATTACATAAATTAGAGAAATAGAATATTAAAAATTGCAATATTTTTTAAGGTTTAAGGTTAAGATTATGACACTTAAAATTGAGTTAATTGAGTTTAAAGTGTATAAGACATTTTTTTATTTTATTTTATTTTTTATTTATTTTTAAATCATATAAAGACTGTAATTTTACACGGAAATAATTTATTTTCTTGCGGATTCTGATTCGAAAATGAAACTCAACTGTAAAAACGTCCACCAGACACGTGTCTCTTAATAAAAACTCCACGTTTTATCTTTTAAAACCACAACTTTCACTCCTCCATTTCCCTCCAATTTCCTCCTCTTTGCTGGGCACCGATGATGGCACGCAGGTTCCAAATTTCTGCACCCTGGCCCAACTCTCTCTCCGCCGCGCCACCGCTCCATTTTTCCGACCAAACTACCGGCGACTCGGACTACTCTTCCAGTTCCCTTGCTTGTTCGTAAATCGTACCATTATGGCCTCAACCCCCTCAAACTCTGTTCAATCGGGTCGGATTCGGGTTTTGAAAGATGTAACGGGTTCTCTCGATCGACCTGTGGGTCCGGTGGTTTATTGGATGTTTAGGGATCAAAGGGTGAAAGACAATTGGGCGTTGATGCACGCCGTTGATGAGGCCAACAGAGCCAAAGTTCCTGTTGCTGTTGCCTTCAATTTGTTCGATCAATTTTTGGGGGCAAAATCTCGGCATTTAGGGTTTATGCTTAGAGGTCTGCAACAACTTCAGTATGATCTCGAAGAAACGCTTCAAATCCCTCTCTTCTTGTTCCAGGTTTGTTAATTTGCCGTAAATGTTTATCATTATCCCTTTTTAGAGAACCTGGGGAAGACCTAATTTGTTGATTTAGTTTAAATTCCTAAAATACATTTGTGCGATTGTCGATGCTTTACAAATCACCATGATTTCTGGTTTTGTATCTTTAATTTCTTTGAGATTTCAATAATCTGCTAGCAAGATAAGTTGCCATGCGCCATTGGAGGTGCAATCAGAAGAGCTTTGTCTTTGATTGCTTTAAGTTTGTATCACTATGACTAATAATTTTCAGGGTTGGCATTCTTAAGGGGGAAGCAGAACATACTATACCAAATTTCATTAGAGAATGTGGGGCTTCGCTTCTGGTTACAGACTTCTCGCCGTTACGAGAAGTTCGGAAGTGTAAAGAGGAAATTTGTAAGAGGGTAGATGAATCAGTTAAAGTTCATGAAGTTGATGCCCACAATGTGGTACCCATTTGGATTGCGTCTGAGAAATTGGAGTATAGTGCAAAAACTTTAAGGGGCAAGATAAATAAAAAGCTCCCGGAATACCTTATTGATTTCCCTGCTCTGCTTATACCAACTAGGAAATGGCCTTCCACTGATAAGTTTATTGATTGGGACAGACTTATTGAAGATAACTTGAGGTTAGAGCATTGTTTTCTTTTGATTTATGTTGCTTAAACTTTATTTAAGTTGACATTTCCCTGTTACCAGAAAAGGAGCAGATGTTCCTGAAATTGAATGGTGTAAACCAGGGGAAAAGGCTGCAATGGAAGTATTGATGGGCAGTAAAGATGGGTTTTTGACTAAGAGGTTGAAGAGCTATGCAATAGATAGAAACAATCCATTGAAACCTAGGGGGCTCTCTGGCCTCTCCCCATATTTGCATTTTGGTCAAATATCCGCACAACGCTGTGCCTTAGAAGCTCGTAATGTTCGAAAACTCAATCCACAGGTAATGCAAAGACAAAGGTTTGGTCGATCCATTTTTATCGTTTAATGGAATACTATGGTGGTGGTGTGAGCTTGGAAGTATATGTTCATATCACTATTAGCACCTTCTTGAAAATGTCTCTTTTGTGAATCTGTTTTTTGCATCTTTTTTCAAAAAATTGTTATATTTTGAATGATTCCTTCTGTTTTGCATCCTTTTTAAGGCCGTTGATATGTTTCTCGAGGAGTTGATTGTTAGAAGGGAACTTGCTGATAATTACTGCTACTACCAACCGCACTATGATTCACTGCTCGGGGCTTGGGAATGGGCACGTAAAACCTTGATGGATCATGCTTCCGATAAGCGAGAACACGTTTACACGTAGGTGAGCCTTGGTGCTAATATTCACTTGTAACTGGTTTTGAAATTATGCAGTTGCTGTTGAATTTTCAGGAGGGAGCAACTGGAGAAGGCGCAGACTGCTGACCCAGTTAGTATATGAACTGATTAGATTATTTTCTTTTCTTTTCATTTTTTGCTGTTGAAAAACTCACATTTGGCATAACATTGTTCAGCTCTGGAATGCTTCTCAGTTGGAGATGGTCTTCCATGGAAAGATGCATGGTTTTATGAGGCAAGTATTAACGAATTTTCCAGTCAATGACGCATTGTTTACCTTTTACCTCTCTGCAATATGTTCTGCTTGAAACATCATTGTTCTGTTTTCCTCTTTCTTTGTCCCTTGATGATAATTTTGTGCTCCCGAAGTCCTGGAATGTCATATAGTGAAATTCATGCACAGGATGTACTGGGCCAAAAAGATTTTGGAGTGGACAAGAGGACCTGAGGAAGCCCTGGAAATTTGCATATACTTGAATGACAAGGTATATTGTTTCCAGTCCACACTTTTATGTGCTTCTATTGAAGTGGTGAAAATTGCTAATCAAGAACGCGACGTGCAGTATGAAATCGATGGGAGGGATCCAAATGGATATGTCGGGTGCATGTGGTCGATCTGTGGCGTTCACGACCAGGTTTATCATCACTGTTCATTTATTATCAGCTACTCTTCTTTATTATTTTCTTGCACATTCTTCTTGTTCTCCTTGAGCAACCCCAGCTTCACCGAAATCAAAGAATTTTCTTTCTCATCTTATATATAAGCTATTGAGGATTGTGGGGAGAGGAGACCCATGTCGGCTAATTAAGGGGTTGATTATGGGTTTATAAGTAAGGAATAGATCTCTATTGGTGTAAGGCTTTTTGGGAAAACCAAAAGCAAAGCCATGAGAGCTTATGCTTAAAGTGGGCAATATGATACCATTGTTGAGAGTCGTGATTTTTAACATAACCAACCTGGAAAGTTTGTTTATTTCTCAAGTGACTACCTTGTTATCTTTTCAGTTTGAACACGAGAAACATATATTTGATTTTATAATCTTTTCCCTTTGCAATGTTTGGTGTTTCAAGGGCTGGAAAGAGCGACCTATATTTGGGAAGATACGGTACATGAACTTCGCTGGGTGCAAGAGGAAATTCGATGTGGATGGCTACATAGCTTATGTGAAGAGAGTTGTGGGTGAAATGAAGAAAAGAAAAGCAGAGGAGGTTGTGGTGGACAGAAAGGCAAAGGAAAGCCGTTGCTAGTAAATGTTTAGTTGCCGAGAAGCATAACTGTAGTTATAGTTTCATGAAAGAGAACATATATATCTCCTTAACTACTCATTGTAGTTTGTAACTCGTAAGCCATTGTTGTGTCAATTTAGGTGGGACGATTAATTTTTTGTACCAAGGCAATGACATAACCATAGTCCAGATTCAAACTTGGAATGGCAGCAGACGGGGTACTAAGTTTAGGGAAAGATTGGAGAGATGGGTTTGTAATGATTCATGTGGGAATTGTTCTTGAAGTTGAAAGTGTTTCATCTTGACTCATTGGTTTTGTTCAATGAGAACTACATGTTTATAGAAGGAATCACGATCCATTGAGGTAAAAATCGAGAGAATCGAAGACGGGGAATGAAGTTGGATGCTCGCTCGCCAGAATCGGTTGCAGATGGTAACAGACAACGGGTCCGGTTGTTCTTGTTTAATCAAACTAATTTTCCAAAATGGGTTATTAATGCAATATTTATACATACACAAAAAAGATTATGTTCAAGTAATAACCCAAAAGATTTATAGCATATGAATTAAGTTAGGTACACTCATGGGAGACATGTGAGTGGATGTATTGTATACGGTTAGTTTATATAAGACCGAACCACAAAATATTTTATCTCTTCTTACAAATCTGTTAATAGAGAAAATTAATATTTCATGGATGATCATATATGAATCAATCTTAATTCACTACAAGAGTTTGTGCTTTGATTCACATGGGTGAGTGGTATTTGTAGCCAATTCAAAAAACCTACCATTTTGGTGACTTACTAAATAAGGAGTCGTGTCTTTGACTCAAGAGAAGCATAGTTTATGGTTAGATCATGACCAAATTGTTCATTAGGTATAAAATGTTAATCCAGGGTAAACAAACTTTTGACCCAATTACGAATAATTTGTGAATAATTGATTTGCTCTAATAATTATATCATTTGACACCATTTATCCTACTAGTATAAGAGTGCATAAATGAAAATTGATTAATTAAATAATTTTTTTTATTTAGAGTTGATAGGTCCATAAAGTCTCTTTCTTGCTTATAGTAATATTAAAATGATCAATTTAGTTGAAAGAAACCTTTAAATGTTCATATTAATATTCAATATATTATTTAAGTCCGAAGAAGAAAAATATATTTAATTTATAGAAAAAGTAGGGTTGAAATTAATATTTAATATAATTAAATATATATTTATTGTAGTCAACTAATAATTAATATATATGAGATATATTATATATTCAAATATATTATTTCAAATTTGTTAAAGATTTTATTAAAGTTCCCATAAATATAACTATTGGGTTGAGACGAATGAGCATGTTATAGCTGAAAATATGTTGTCACTATTCAAGTTAGCTATGAAGATGTTGTCACTATTCAAGTTATAGTCGAGAATATTTTCGGGAGAAAGCTCTATATCTCGTGAAAAAATGAAGTTTCGTTTGGTTGAAATACATTCAAGAAACTTCATATCCACAATTTTAATATTAGTGATTAATTTAAAATCAAATTAGGATCTAATATTTCTATTCCATAAATAGTTCATTCCCTTCAAAAGCATGATTAGGTATCATGATGATTAATATTTTACTGTCGTCTCTATTAATGATGTGAACCATGAATGATATATGTATATTGCTAGGCAAAAACGACTAGGAGTACCTCTAATCGTGAACTTGGCTCAACTATTGAGGGTCTGCATAGCATTTTGTATGGAAACTATTAACCGGTTGCTAGTTAATCCACTAGGATATGCATTTGTATCTATCTATATGACTATGAGATGATATAGATACAGTTGAGTCCTAAAACAAATGAACCTTTTAGAGACGTATAAATATGAGTGGGGTTGATTACAAGATCTCCTGCTAATTCTTAGTTGTGAACTTGTTCAGATAAAGACAAGGACCACATTGGTAAACGAACATTGCCAGACATGATAACTCTCTCCTACCCAAGATTAATAGGGAAACCCCAACTAAAACCTATCATAGAAATTGTCTCAATTGACAATGTTCATAGTGGTATGCGATAATCATGAATTGGAATGAGGACGAGGTGGTGCATCGAGTACCTATGAACCAAGGAGAGCCCTTGGTTGAAGGATGATTTTTTTTTTTTTTTTTACCATGGGAGAGAAAAAAAGGCATAAGCAGTAAAGACAAGAAAAGACAAGGGTTAAGAGAGAATTATGAATTCTAAGTTTTAAAAGATTGAACAGAGTTGCAGAAGAGACGGCAGCTTCACTCACATGGTGGCGCCCCCTTCTTCTTCTTCTTCTTCTTCCTTGGAGGATCTGTGTTCTTAAATAAAATGGCATTAATATTATTATGATTATTATTATTAGTCTTCAATACTAATTAGCAGACCACCAAACTACCAACTCTAGAAATCACATCTTCGTATTGCTACTACAAAGAAATCAAAATGACCTACAAACAAACCAGACTACGGTGACAATGCGGCGGCGGTTGCAGCGGCAGCGTTATACCTGCACAACACCTTGCATTTGACTACGCTGCCGTATACATAGAAACCAGGGGCGATCATTATTCTGACCACCGACGGAATCAGCTTTCTGGCCTTCTCTCCGCTCATGTCCTCCATGTAAACGGAATCGAAATCCGCCTCTTTCTCCACTCTGAAAATCGGCAGATTCGGATGTACGGAGTTTGCCAGGAGGTGTAGAAGCCACACGCTCTTTGAAGCGCCGAAGAACGCCTGCAGTAGCGGCTCCGGCCAGGCTCTGTTCCATCCCAGCATCGCCACGATCTCGCTCATTTTCCGGTCACAAAATCGGCTGAAATCCTCGCTGAAATGCTTCGTTCCCTTGCTTAGAACCTCCTCCCACGTTAATTCATGGAGAAAATTGAAACATCCGAAATTCGCGTCGCATCTTTCAATCGGATTGAGAATCTGAGTCGAGGCGTTCTTTTGAAACCCTACCGATTCGAAATCCTCGAAGAGAGCTTGGTTGAGGAGAGCTTCCAGGTAGAATAGCAAACTTCTAGGGTTCTTCGAGAACGAGATTTTGATATTGTAAGGTTGAAGAAGAACGGATATTCGTTCATATACTTTGGCTCCGACGTGACGGAGTTGCAGAGTGAGTGACCGGCTAAGAAGCCGAATCGACGATCGAGATTCCGATACTGAAACTAAGAAATGTTCTATTACTTGCTTCTGATTCATCTGTTGTAAATCCTGGATTTGATGATAATTCCCAATTTGGCAAGGCGAATTGCCGCTGCATTCTTCGATTCCGGATTTCAAACTGTGGCAATACGTCTCCAGTTTGTTCAGTTTCTTCTCCAGTTCAGCCATGGCGTATTTTAATCTAGAAGCTTCCATAATCGCCTCGTCTCTCTTCCTCGTCGCCTGAACTAGCTTCTGCGAGAGCTCCGTTACGGCAGTCCTCCATTGCTCCTCTCGAGCCGTTAGGGCGGAAGATTCATTAATCGATTTCGGACTCCTCCGCGTTAATGACGAAATTAATGATTTGAAAATCCCATTAGGGCTCGCCATGGAGAAATATGTCTGTTTATTAACGCCATTGTTGTTATCCAGAGGAACGACGGAGAATTTCTCCCGCGCGTGAGGACGACACCGGTTGCAGGAGACCGGGCCGTCGGAACTCGACACGGAATCCGACTCCGACTCGGACCGTTTCTTAACCGTCTCACGATTGAGCGGTGTAGAGTGAGGGTTCGGACTCGTTCCCCGGTCCGTACATCCAACAGCGGCAGTGTTCTGAGTCCGATTGTGAGCAGCAAACTCGTCCTCCCGTTCTTCCCTCTCGCATTCTTGAATCTGCAATGAAACTCATGATATTCCGTATAAGAAAAGAGGGGGAATCTTAGAATTTATGGTTTGAGAGACTCACCGGCGTGAAGTGGGGGCGTGAGTGGTGTGTCGGAGCAGCAGAGGAGGATGAAGGAGAGGAATGGAAGGAAGTCGGTGAAGGAGGCGCCATGGATGAAGAAAAACAAGAGGTAGTTGGGAGAGGAGGAGGTGGAGGAATTAAGGGCATTGGCTCGGTGTTTCGTTGTCTCTCTCATTTTCTCGGGCTGCAGTTTCGTCGTGTTGTAATCATGATTATGATTCACAGACAGAGAGATAAGAGAGCTTCTCAACCCTAAGAGATTAAAAACAAAACGCTCTGAAACTTTCTGGGTGCCGAAGACCGGAAAATGATAACTCCTATGGAACCAATTTTCCATTCCCCCAAATTATTAACATCCTTAAATTTATAAATCCAAACTTTTATTTTATATAAATTTGAATTTTTGGATAAATGTAATGAGTCCAAACTTTAAGTGCACGAGTATTCCGTAGATTAAATAATGATATATAGTTCAGAAAAGCAAAAAACTAAGAGATTCAAATATTAGCCTTATTCTATTCTATTTTATATTGTTACACGGCTACCCCTAGATTAGAATATTCCCCCAATCCCTCATTTTTCCACCTTAATTATTCTCATTTAAGCTTTATTTATAATATTCCAATACAAAATAATATCATTATCACATGAACCATTAGACTTCCCATCTCTAATCGCAACGACCCAATTAAGCTAGGTTGAGCTTAGTGGGGTAATAAGTAGTATTCCGTAAGCCAGAGTGTAGGTTTTCTTCGTCTCACTTTTTGGATAGGCGCACCTAGACAAAAAAAGGTGAGCATCGGTGAAGGAAGGTATAAGGATGATGGGTCGATGATTAGCGGCTGATTCCTGAGGATGATGAAGCTATTGAATTTATTAGTAGGAAAGAAGATAGGGGGAGGTGGGGATAGGGAAATAAATGAGGAGGGTAGAAGTGTTAAATGAAAAGGGATTGGGAAGCATTCAATGTAAACAACTGCTTCATCTCGCCTCATTAATTATAAGAGCTTATATTTAAAGTGGACAATATCATATCATTATAGAGGGTCGTGTTCATCTAATCAATTTAATTCTAATTTTCAATTCAATTTTAATATCAAATTTTAAAACATACTCTATGATTAGGTTCTAAATTATATTATCAAATGGATCATTATTTAAAAACTAATTATTTATACCAAAAGTCAAACAATACCTTTATGAATCCACATTAATGGGTATCCACTTTTTCCTCCCAAAATATGAACACTGTTATATTTTCTTGGGGGACGGAATCATAAAAGGATAATTTCAAAAATATAAAATAAAAAAAAATAATTTTTCAAAATATATATTAAAATTTAAATGTTGGAAGTAAATAAATAAATTTATTAAAGTCAATTTCATCAAATTTATTAATGCCTAGAAATAAATTAAAATTAGGCTAAATTTTAAAAATATCTCCTTAGAAAGCTTTATTAGATATAAAAAAAATAATAATAATACTTAATAAGGTATTTATTCCCTATAAACATTTAAAGGAATAATTAATTTTTTTTTCGATATTTTCTTAATCATATATTTTGTGATCTATTAACTTAAATAAGTTATAATTAATAAAAAAAATACAAAATTGAGTAATTAATTCCTCCCATTTAATATATTTGAAAATAATTATTTTACGTTAATTAGGTCGGTTTTACAAAAATCTAATGTCAATTAGCTGGATGATTAATTAACTTCAATCATTTGCTCATTAAACTCGGCTAAAATCGATTAGCTGGATGTAAATGTCATAATATCCTTTTTAGCTTAAATAAAAGTTAATTTTATAGCATATAATATGCAGTTTATCCACTAATTATATTTGAACCTAATGTTTGATTTAAATCATCATATTTATATTTAAAAAAATATTTATGAAATGTAGATCCATTGAATCATAAAAACTATCCACAAGGACTATGTGCAAACAAGGCTAACTAAAACACCCACGACCAACTGAATCAAGATGTGTACACGTGCTCAGCTTCAAAGGGAAAAAGGCTACAAAAGGAGAAAATAAGGTATTATGATTCGAAGAAGAGTTGAAATAAAAAGAACATTTCGACCACATTATAACTAATTAATTTCTCTTTGATCATTAAGAGTGTTAAATTATGATGTTTAGTTTCTCTTGTAGGAGAAGAATTATGGGAGAATTGGGTGAGCGTCTCATCCATCAGCATTGCATTCTGACGCAGCTGCCTGGCCTTGGGCTCTCGCGGCTGGTCCTAATTTATAACGGAACCCAGCCCCACCCAGAGACGCAGGCCCCAGCCCTTCTGCCACTGCAAGCAGCCTTTGCCCCCAAACCCTGGATTGGATCTTTGTTGTATTCTCCCGCATCCGCATCACCGCCCCCCACTTGCATTTGACTCCCACGTAATCCCCTTGTGGCACCCCACCTTTCTCAAGAACCAACAAATGCAAACCAACCCACTCAAATTTACACTCATATCTCCCTACCCAAGTTATATATGGTAAGTCGTTGTTATCTCTCTCTTCCTTGCTTATATAACATCTCTTTCTAAAATCTCTCTCTACCCTCCCTCGTTTTCTAAAATCTTCTTTCAAAATCGAGGCTAGAGACTCGATCATATGTCGCTTGGCCGTAAGCGACGCAAGAACAAATTGGCTTAGCTCACTTGTCGTTGGAAAGTGAGTGCCGCACAATCGCTCAATCGGATAAGTCTTCGTGATAATAGAGATGTGTTCCTTCGTTGTAGACTCATGACAGCCAACTTGGTACTCCTTCCCAACGATTCTCAACCATTCTTGACCGTCCATCACATAAACACTGATTGTGATGCATATATATATATATTATTTTGAGTTATTGTGTTAAAAATGCGACTAATCTTCAACATTAATTAAATAAAAGGAAATCGAGAATACAGAGGCAATGTCCTAATCCGATTAAGGTTGTTTTCAATGAAACCAAAAGAAAAAACAAGCAAGTTGAAAATTGTGGTTCAAATCGGAAATGTTTGCTAAAACTACCCACCTAAGTGTTTGTGAAAGTTCTGGATATTGCGAGTTTGGTCGAATTTGAACGAAATATAGGGCATAGCAAATAAAATCCTTTTAACACTAACAATTAACAATGGGTATTAATTGGTATTAGAGTCATGATCGGAAGCATGTTTGTGGAATCTGGAGTGACGCCTCCCACAGTCGGATATTTCTTTGTTTCTTTCTTCCATTTTGAATTCTTTTCTCCTAATTATTCCAAAATGTTTCTTATCGGCTCTGAAATCAGAATTCCGATCATCTTTGCGCCTTGTTTTCGATACCGATTCCGCCGTCCGTGATTTTTCATCGGTTCGCTTTGCGAGATCAGGATTCAGGAGCAGCAATGTCTTGCAATGCGTGCAAATTCTGCACGGCGCTGGGTGCTTTGGTTTCGATTATGATCCTCTATGTTCTAGGTATAGTCGATCTCTCCTATTACGCTCTGCTCGTCGTCAACTATGGTCCGCCTCTCTTAGTTCTAGGGACCTAATTCTTCCAATTTCTTAAGAGTACGAACTTAGGATTAGTTTGTACATTTGCTTTTTTTCTTCATTTGTTTCTGCTGAGACGAATTTATTAGCTTGTAGAATAGCGTTATGCAGAGAATAGAGTATCTCTGGGATTCTTCTTTTCGGTTTGCCAGAATAACACAAAAGAGAATAAACACTTTGCCTAATTCTGAAGTTGGAATGATGTGTTGTGGTAATATTTGTGTGTTCATCTTTAGAATTGCAAATGTATATTTCATAAAGCTTTAAACCTTCAATTTACCTATCTGTTTATGTAGTTGGTGATGCTATTATGGAGCTACTTTTCTGTTGTTCTAACAAATCCGGGGTGTGTTCCACCGCCCCGTTGCCATCACTGTTTTGTTTGTAAGTTCTTTGATGTTTTCCTATAGAAGTTTACTATGATTCTAGCTGGTAAACACGATATAAGTACTGATTATGTTTTGTTTGGTAGGTGGAAGGTGTGTATTGAAACTGGACCATCATTGTGTGTTGGTCGTCAATCGTGTTGGAGCAAAGAACTACCTGTACTTCCTGCTATTATTGGCTTCCTTCTGATCTCTAGTTCCTTGTTTCCATGGTTCTCGTTGTGTTGGATGCTCGCTTATGATACCTATAATGTAACAACCCAAGTCCACTGCGAGCAGATATTGTCCTCTTTGAGCTTTCCCATTTGGGTTTCCCCTCAAGGTTTTTAAAGTGCATCATCTAGAGAAGTGAACAAGTGCTAGCTAGGACGTTGGGCCCCGAAGAGGTGGATTGTGAAATCCCACATCGGGAGGAGAACAAAACATTTTTTATAAGGGTGTGAAACCTCTACCTAGCAGACGCGTTTTAAAAATCTTGAAAGGAAGCCCGAAAGGGAAAGCCCAAAAAAGAGAATATCTACTAGCGGTGAGCTTGAGCTGTTACATATAATATCCCGTTCAAAAATAAATGATGCCTCTTATATAATCATGCATGGGTGGATTCTAGTTCTTCGGCAATTTGTCGTTGACATAACCTGACATTATAGATATTCTAAATGTTCTATAGAGATGTTTTCTGATTGCGTTATGGTTGCATCATTTCACTGCTCGTTTGTTTTTATGATCTGTGTAAGACAAACGTTTTATCCTTTGAGTAGTTGAAAATGTTTCTTCTTCTTGTTTCAATAGTTAAAATATTTCAACATTCATCTCTAATTTTAGCTGCTTGTTCCATACAGTCTTGAATTTACCATTTGCACCGAGTGTTATGAGTTTTCTGATATTGCACGTATCACTGGTAGCAGTCAATACCACCAGAGTTGAGGTAAGGCCTTCTAGAAGTAGTATTTTGTTTGCTTTGCTTTTAAACATTTAACAGGGGCTGAATTGGTCTATTGGATATTTGATTCACCATTGCTAGGTGTCACGTTCATGTTTGTCCAAGGCATATTTGTCCATGGTTGCATGACAAACTCCTTGTGTTGTACCACTTTATTGCTTTCCTAAACCGTATTCATGATGTATAGTTTCTTTATTGTATTTTCCAAGTGTATGACGTTTCGAAAAAAATCATGTCTACATCTGGTAGATCAAGAATGCCTTAGAATGTACTATAGGGGGATGTGATTAGTCGTCAATTCTTCCTATCCGGAATTATACAGTATCTAAGCTGTTGTGTTGCTTTCTTTGCTTATATCCTATAACACTGCTTTCTTCATTTCTCTCAATCTTGCTTTCAAACAATCTTTCTAAAATCCCTCTCTGCCCCCGTTTTCTAAAACCTTCTTAAAACAAGGTTAGAGGCTCGAATATACGTCGCCTAATCGAAGGCGACATGATTTCAAGTTGGCTGACTCACTCAGTGGTGAGAGTAAGTGTCGCATAACCGCTTGCAAGCATCTTGTAAGAGTGCGATTGTTACCGCAAGCATATGAGAAGAAAACCACTAAAAAAATGGCACCATGGCCTTGGTCACCTAAAAATTTTGAGCTGGTATCTTCTTCACAACTCACTGGCCTCTTCCTTGCTGACATTCGCTTATTCACTTATTGATGGTAGACTTATCTGTTGGTGGGTAGACGCTAATTTTACCATATTCATGTCCATATTTAGTTACAAGCTACCCAAGTTTGTAGAGGCTTGTTACTCTCTCACCAGCGTTGCTTCCTCTAGTACTTACTCTACTGCTCTCAGCAGATCAAACTCCCCTATTTCTCATCTCTTGTAATATGCTGGAGTTCTTTTGCCTGTGATACTAAATGAATTCATGATTCAGGTGTTGAGAATGGATTAGAAGTACTGGTTTATCACTGCAGCTTCTCAAGATGACCTAAAGCAGAAGCATAATCTCCAAGGCATCGAATATCCAATAAGGTCAGACTTGAATCTACTTCAGGAATTCTAAAATCTATCTCAGAGTTTAATTCCAAAGATTTGGTGGATTATTATTAGTATCAATTTGTTAAATTGCTTGATCTATTCAACCTCATATTACAGTGAGTCAGTTAAGGATGGCCAGGGCTGCGGCGGGTTCCCTCCATGTGCATGTGAAGGGAGGAAAGACAGAACTGGCGTCAATAAGTTGGAGCTTGAAAAACAAAATCTCCGAAACTCTGACCATGTATTAAACGATGAACTACGAGATGGAGAGAGAGAGAGATAGGAGAGATAAATTGTTCATTAATTATCTTTTTTATTAACATGTAAATTAATTTAATTGCTTTAATTTATTGTTTATATTATTAATGAATTGTCTACTATAAATAGCTTAGTTAATTAAAATATTTTAAAATTAAGTCTACTAATTTAGATTATTTTTGCATAAGATAAACCTATATAATAATTTCATATATATTTATCTTATTAGGAGAGAGTTAAGAAATGTGCATGAAATATTTGATGGTTTTGTTATATTTATTTGTATTTAAAATTTTAAAAATATAGAGTGAATTTCAAATTGTTTAATATGGGGGCCAAAAAGTAAAGTTAAAGATGAAGAAAAATTTGGTAGAAAATTCATCATGATGGAATTTTATTACTTTTTTTTTATAAAAAAATGATTGAAATTTAATTATACATTTAATTCTCAAACATTAAATAATTACATTCTAATTTAATATTGAACAATCATTTAACATTATATGGCCGTATTTAAAATAGCATTTTGTTAATCTAAAATAGAGATATAAAAAAATCATATAATGATGCAATAAATTTGAAAGTGAATTTGATAAATACAATTTGAAAAAAAAAAAAATAGACAAAGAAAAATAGAAAACTTCTATTATACACAAATGACAAAACTGTATTCACAAGGGTGGAAACGACACCGTTTGGCGTGGAAGAGAAGTCACTTCCGAATGACAAACTCCTCCCCTGATCGTCGATCAACATGCTTAATCCACTTTCCCTTCCCTTCGCCGGAACCTGAATTCGCTCCGCCCGCCGCCACATGCGCTATATCCAAACCCTTCCCCACCGGCAGAAACGTCGATCGAACCAACCGCCGCGTACCGTTATCCGTAACATTCTTCCATCTGAAACTCGAATCGCTTCTCGAGTTCGCGTTCTTGCAAATCAAAACTGCGCCTCTAGAACTCAGATTCGCCAGTTTCAGAACTCGACTGAAATTCCTCCTCTGGCTATCCACCACCATAAAATCTATACCTACCAGTCCATCCATCACCTCCTCCGGCTCTCCAACAATCACTTCAGGCACCGATCCTGCTCTCTCCATCGCTCTACAATATTCTCCCCTCGATCTCTCATCAGGAACCACACACACGTGTCTCCCTCCAACGTGACGTCGAGCCACCGCCAAACCTATACTCGTCGCAATCGCTCCACCGCTGGACCACGTCTCCACAATGAACTGCGCACTCCATCCCGCCGCCATCGCGGAAATCAGTTCCGCAACGCCAGATTCTTGTTGGAGATCACACTTCACATAAAACTGAAATAAATCAATCATAAGCTCCAGAAAATCGCAAAAAGAAAAAACGAAACAGAAATCGGAAATCCGGAACAAAATCTCTTACAGATTGAACGGTGTCGATGTAGGCTTTGGAAGCCGTCTCAGGGGACCAAACAAGCTTCATATCAAAATCTCCAGTGCAATTCTTTTCTCCGCCGATTGAATTCAAAATCTAGGGTTTTGTGTCGCTCTCTGTCGCAGTCCCGCTTCCGTTATAGTGCAAACAGAAACGAGTTTCCTTTTGTGAATGGGAAAGATACCAATTCGGGGGTAGGGTTTTTATTCTCTGAAGGCATCAAATAAATAAAAAATAAATAAAAAAGATATGTTTGACCGTTGACTTTTGGCACATTTTTTCCGACGTGGATAGATTAGATTACCACCGTGGTTTTCTTCGTTCTTCCCCAAATTTGTCAACCAATATCTCAAAAATAAATAAATAAATAAATTGTTGGATTACACTAAATTTAAATATATCGCCGACCTTCAACTTAATATTATATATTATTTTTAAAAAAATCAAAATTATGTTTTTTTTTTGTCTTTTTAAAAATAATAATTAAAAAAAAAAAACAGTTAGGTTACCTAATTAAAAAAAGGGTGTTTGCAAACGTGGCCGAATTTTAAGAATGTAAAATTAAAAGTAAGATTTGTTTTATAACTAAAATCAATTAAAACCTGTGAAGATTCTACTTTTATGGGAGGTGACCTAAAATATGCTTATAGGTTTGGATGAATACAGTGAATGTATTTAATACTAAGCATCATACCTTTTAATAGTCTCCGCCATTTGTCCCATTTTCCTCCCCATTTCATTAACCAGTTTCGTGTTAGAGATGGAAACTATCGGAGATAGTTATAAGATGATATCCTTCCATATATAATGAGATAATTTGTACTATTATCTTGTCTCGTGTTTCTAGATATTCTTTACTCATTTTTTTTTGGGTCATTAATAAAAAAAACTCTTAAAATTTATATTGTCTAAAAATGTCTGCTGTCATTTTTTTTAGAGTTTGTGAGTATTTTTAACCATTTTTAGTTTTATATTTTTGAAAAGTCAGATTGAGTTGAAAAAATAAATAATATTTAAAACCTTAAAAAAAAAATTAAAGAGTAAATAGAAAATAAGAAATAGAGTGGAAGCATCGAGAGAATTTCCTATAAATATTCAAAGTAGAGCCGGTTCAATTAAGCCGACCCATGCGTTAGAACTAGCCAGCCTTGACTTTTTTCTTTTATTATTTTCCTTAAAAAACATTTTTCCTTAATTATCTTCAAAGAATTTGTCTATGTGAGACGGATTCTTTCCATTTTCCTACCAAATTTATGTTTAATCATGTTTTCCAAGTTGTTGGGGGGATGAAGAAAGGATTCGTGGACCATTCTCGAATTTAAACTCGGGACGGAATCAGGCTCCACTCAGTGTGTATGGCCCAAGATGATCGTCTTTGTGCAACCCAAAATGTGAATTGTCAACGTGACCCAATGAATGATGCACAACCTAGTCTAGTGCGTTCGACCCATGCAGATCATGCATACACTAATGACCTTATTGTTGATAACTCCACAAAGGATAACTTCATTATAATTCGTAAAACTTAAATCTAATTTAAACATAGCGTTGTGGACTCTCAAATGTACTATTAAAACACGTAAAAAATTAAATGGGTCTTACTTTTCGATCTACCAATTAAAAAACGACAAACCATGCATCCAGTCAACGAAAGAGACCCCACACATAGATCATGATAGAAAATAAATTTGATAGATACGAGGAAGTTTCTAGGAAGAGAGAGAGAGAGAGAGAGAGAGAGATTTGGGAGGATTGAAGATTTTGAATAACAAATTAATCACGAGATTCAGGTCGGTAGGGCTGGCAATGGCGAAAGCAAAGCAAATTCATCATCAAACTTTGACTAAGTATGCAGACCGCCCACTGTTCCCTTAGTTCACAAAACCAAACCTAATAAATTCATGTCACTGTCTGAATTCAACAATATCCCATGATCCTATGATGTTCCATTATGATTATATTAATTCAAGTTGTATGATGCCGATGGACACAACTGTTTATTAAAGTCCTGAATTGACTAGTTAAGAAGAAAATACGAGAGTTTATATTCAAAGTGGACATAACATATTCTTGAGGTTTATTAGAAAAAAAAAACTTTTTTTTTTTTTTTGTGCGATCGACGTTGAGATACTATAATTTATATTTGAAGTGTCTTCTTTCGGTTGTATTTTTTAAAAATAAAAAATTAATATAATAAAATAAAATTTGTTTGGATTTAATAATAAAGTTTGGGACCCAATAAGCTATTGCATAAACCTAACACTTTATATAATAAAGTTGAATTAATTGCAAATTTAAGATAATTTAATTATGATTGGAAATTTGGTAAGCATCAAAACATTAGGCGCGTCTAATCAATAATCATTATAATTACCTTTAAGCAATGGATTTATTATTATTATTTTAATATTAATGCGCTACGGATGCCAAATGCTATAATGATTAAAAATACATTATAAATTTAAATTTTATTAACGAAAATTAAAATTGAACAATATAAAGATTAAAATAAAATGAAATAATATAAAACGAATTTGCTAATTATTATTATTATTTTTTTGAAGTTTTGCAAATACAATTAATAATTTTGAAAACAAAACTTCATATATAATTATTCAATTAAAATAAAATTAAATGTATATTTTAAAAATACATAAATAAGGAGCGGTGATGTAAATGTGGGCTTCAAAATGAAAGCCCAATACTTGGAGCTACAGAACGATCACATTCCAGTGACAGTATAAAAGGCTCTGCGAAGACCTTCTAGGGTTTTGGTTATTTGGCCGTCGCGGAAGAGCAGCTCTTATCCAACTGAGAACTAGGGCCACCAGAGTTCCGCTGCCGTAGACGATAACCATGGGTCGTATGCACAGTCGTGGGTTTGTTTCTAATCCTCCATTTGTTTCTGATTCATTTCGATTTCATTTGTTGAATATGGATGAAATTATTCACAACATTGACTCTATTTTTGCATTTACAGTAAGGGTATTTCTGCCTCTGCATTGCCCTACAAGAGGACGCCGCCGAGTTGGCTCAAGATCTCTTCTACTGATGTACGTGATTTCTTGACACTCTTATTATTATCTGTTTGCCTGACAGTGAATGCTGCGGGAAAGTTCTGAGTCTTTTTTTTTTTTTTTTAATCTGTTGAAATTTGAATTTAGGTTGAAGATAATATCTGCAAATTTGCGAAGAAGGGCCTAACCCCTTCTCAGATTGGTGTGATTCTTCGTGATTCTCACGGTATCGCTCAGGTCAGAAGTGTTACTGGAAGCAAAATCTTGCGTATTCTTAAGGCCCATGGTATTCTTCTTTTCCATATCTTGTTTGACCTTTGCGTCTGAAATTTTTGTTTGTTTACGAGCATTCTTGTCTCTGTAGGGCTCGCACCGGAGATTCCAGAGGATCTCTATCACTTAATCAAGAAAGCTGTCTCCATCCGCAAGCATTTGGAGAGGAACAGGAAGGACAAGGACTCCAAGTTCAGATTGATTCTTGTGGAGAGCAGAATCCACAGACTTGCTCGCTACTACAAGAAAACCAAGAAGCTTCCACCAGTTTGGAAATAGTAAGTTTACTTAGTACGCTGTTTGGTTAGACTGAGAGTCATTCCACATTTCATATGATCAATCCAAACAATGTAGTTCATGGTTATGGATTGTCTTTGATGTGGTGCTTTATTTTGAAACTATAAAATGATTAACTTAGATTCTTTTTGTACTATAACTATTTTCATTCTAATTTTAAACTGTCCTGCCCCGAAGCTTCTGGTATTAGGCCTGGTCTATAGTTTGGGTTCTTATTACTTTATCTAACTGATCAAAAATCATTTAACTTGTATAACCAGATAAAATTTTATGTTGAAATGTGCTATGGCTTACAATCTATTACTCAAACATCTTACAAGAAGAAAGAATTTGAAAGAAACAGAAAAGAAGAATATTTTGTTTGTTATCCAATGGAAAGTAGTGTGGATTTGTTAGCATTTTTTAAAAAAGAATTTGGGGTTTGTTCGGCATACCTCTCTCTCTGCTATGTTTAACAGAGTGAATATCAAATTTGGAAATGGATGGCCTCAAATTTTAATTGTGCAATAGGGAGTTCTGCTTGTGCATGTACAAATCTTTTTGACTAAATTAGGATTTATACCTTTGTTTTCATGTGAGTTTAGTTTCTCTGAATCTGCCCACTATTTTTAATAACCAGTTGCTAATCAATCATTGCAAATGTTTGTTGGGCTTCAACTTTTGATGAATTTTCCCTTTAGGCTTGTGTTTTAAGTCACATGTTCATGTACCATATGAAATGAGTGGACTTCTACTCTCTCTGCTATGTTTAACAGAGTGGATATCAAATTTGCATTGTGTGGTTTTATTATCAAGGACTGGATGCAATTTTCTTTTGTTTGTGTTCAAGATTATAGTTAAAACGTCCAAAGCTAAATTAGTATTTAGACCTTTGTTTTCATCCAGCTTTAATTTTTCTGTAACTTCTAACTTTTGGTTAGATTCATCTTTTGACCAAGATTTCCCCTCATGGGTCCATAACTGGTGTGCTTTTCTTTCTTGGTTTCTTTCCTTTTATGAATTGTTGGATATAGGCTTCTTAAGAAAAGGGTAGACCTGGTATTTCATGATGCTTACATGTGTCCATGATTGATTATCAACTGCTGTATGACATTTGTTTTTTCGTTGCAGTGAGTCAACAACTGCCAGCACCCTGGTTGCATAATTTTCAGTTAGAGTGATTGGTGGCTATATGACTCCATCTGTGATTGACATCAGTCGTTATAAGGTCAGGTGGTCAGTGAGAGTTGTGGGTTGGTTTTTATTTATGGCATCAGTTTTGACTTCTGTTTTTATTATGGAATCTGTAGCTTCGATCTGTGATCGACTTCAGTCGGTCGGTCATTTGTGAGGTCAGGTGATTCAGTGAGAGTTGTGACTTAGTTTTTATTTATGACATCAATTTTGACTTCTGTTTTTATCTAGTATGGCCAGATTTTAAAAGAAAATCATTTAACACGGTGTTGCTTAGATGGTGGATCTTTTAATAGATTTCTGAATGCAAGTTTGATAATGTTCATTGGATTTTTTCTTTTGATGTCCAATTCGATCGGAACCATCAATCTAGCACAAGTATTCTTCTTATGGACATGCACTACTTTGATTTGAGGAAACAACCGGACCCACCTATGCAAACCATCCTTGTGAAAAATATTTTGATATTTTGTTTTTGGATTCAGAGTTATATGAATTTTGTTGAAATATTCACGAAATGGTTTTGAGTTTATATAACGAAAATCACTAGTGAGTTCTCTATGGATGACAAACAATTCTGAAGTCTCAAGTTTGTCTTCATATTATAATTATCAATCAAGGATGAAAATGTACACTTCATTGCTTCAAACTCGAAACAATTTTTTATCTTTATCAATGAGCTATAATCAAACAACTCATACAACCAAGCTGTTAAATTTTGCACGATTTCTTGAACTATTAATCAATTTTGTATCGTTTTTTTTCTGTTTCTTTAATAATTATGACAGTCCAGAAGAAGAAAAACAATGGAAATGTACACTTCATTGACGAACACTTATAATATATGTTGTTTTGAAGACTGCCGGTCTATTTTTATCTTATGCAAGAGCTACAATATTTCAGCAATAGTGAAATAAAAGGACATGGGAATTAAAATTTACAGCAAATAAGGTTCACAAATGTGAAGGAAAAAAAATCAAATGAATTTTAGAGGCAGCGTGAAACAAACAAAACACGTGACGACATTGAGCACCAGAAAACGTTGATACCCAAGACTATGTGCAGCATACCAGTCTACTACTCCTACCTGTTCGGTATGAATGACAACAGGTGACTTGAACCAGCATCCTTCATGCCTAGCATCAAACAACCTACATAAATCATCTGAACGTAACGTAGTAGTAATACTGCCACGAGCACTTTATTTTCTCCGTGAGTAGATACAAGCATCTCATTAGCCAAATAACAAGCTTCAGCATTGTCAAGTAGACGATCCTCTATACTATGAGGTTCAGGACTCTCTGGGGCTGGAGGTGTTTGGTTTTCGGAAGGTGAACTTCCATTGTGTTCATTGTCATCCTCGTGTGTATCATCATCACCACCTGTTTCATCCTTCTTTTCACTAGGACCACTATCACTATCTGCTTTTGGGATAACCTGAACCAAATCTGGCCGTGCTTCTACCCCAACACGTCTCAAGTGCAGCTGTCAAAGACCATTTAAGATAAGATTGGAGCACATATGAATGTAAAAATGCAAAAAGAACAAGAAAAAAGAAACAGTACTGGGCGTCATATTTACCTGAAGATGCAAGTTTACTTCATCAGGGCGTGAAAGAAATGGGAAATCGCCCCCTGTTTTCAAGTATGCTCTTCTGGCTTCAGAATATCTTTCGTTCAGTTGATCTTTGAGTTGCAGTGGAACCGCACAATAGTCATTTGTCTTTGAGGGTCAAGTAACCGTGTCATGGAAAAAAATAAAAAAAGACAAAGTGAGCGAGAAAACAAGCTATTCAATCACCTTACATAAAATTTTTCAATGCTAATAGGCAGAGTTATCAAGTCAAGCGAGTATCAAACAGACAATTAAATAAAGCATATAGTTTCAGCATCTAATCATGAAATCAAATTACAAATAGAAACTAACGAGTATATCGGAAGTATAGAAGACATACATCCATTATGGTAATAGAGGAATCTGGAAGAAGAAGAGGTCCAATTGAGGCATCATCAACTGTTAGGGTCAGCCTTGAAGCCAAATCTTCTCTAGAAAGCATTTCCACCTGAACTGATGATATTAAATTCAGGGCTAAAGGAACTAGTCAATCAAATTGTATAAGCAATCTGCACAAGTACCCCATCATCTTTAACTGAGAAAAAGATGAGGCCCTAAAGGTGAAGAGAGGAACGTACATACAATTCATATCACAACTAATAAAGCTGCTAATTTATCCATAAGAGGTGTAGATGAGGGACCAAAAATCTCGGAGAACTTGGAAACTATAGCTGAGAAGGTTCAAAACATTATTGTAAATGCAACTTTTATACTGGGAGCTAATACCATGACACAGAATATTAGCGATTCACAACATACTTCATTGGAATTACTAATATATTGACATCCACAAGAAATAGAGAACCATATAGAACTAATCCATTGCCACCTGAACTGTGAGGGGAAGAGAGAGAAAGAGAGAGAGATCCCAAGCAACACAAAGTTTCTTAAAGAGAGCAAGGAGGAGGAATAAAAACTTACGGCTAAAGGTTTAAGACATGAACTAGTTAATTGAGATGGTTGCATTGTTTTCAGAACCAGAAACTAACCCAACATCACTAACTTGCCAAAATGGATGCTAAATGCTAAAAAGAAAAGTTGAGTACGCTTCATAAAATCAATCTTATCAAATAAATGATACTAATAATTAATAACCATGATAATAGTGAACTAAAAATAAGGTTTCAAACTTCAAAGTACCTGAGAAACAACAAAGTCTACAGAATCGGCGATAAAAGGTTCATGCGGACCATCACGAATTCCTGTTAAGACATACCTTTTCAGCAAAAAAGAGGGGGCCCAACTAACACTGCATAAAGCAATACCAAAATCCTGCGAGTTAATATTGAAGGAAAATTTTATACTGAATAACAACAAAAAATTTGAATGTGAGAGATTTTGGATCGGGAACATGTAATTTACAAAGTTAGGGTAGGTCAGAAACATATTGTTACAGCATTAAACCTAAGGCTACAAAAATTGGACAAAATAAAGCTGAACACTCTCTGGAGAGAAATGAAAAAAGTTAGAGGGAGATGGAAAGGGCAAAGGAACTAAATATATATTCCCAAGTCGCCAATATTAAATCCATTGTATTAATGAAGTACAATGTACCTATGCCTTCACTTTCAGATCAGATATTTGCAACTTGATAGTGAAAATGGTCATACATTGCTTTCCAAAGAGTTATAGAGGTCTCCACCTTCATGGGTACAGAAGATTCCTGATAGGATGGAAGTCCAAAATGTGATGGGGGATCAGCAAAAGCCCAGGGACACACATCAAAATGCATTCCCTTCAGGCTGGTGCTTGTTTAGCCTTCTCAGGTAGGAATTGGTAAAAATATTATTCTGTAAATGCAACCAAAGATGACTAATTTTTAAATGGCTCACTAAAGGAGAGTCTCGCAGGGGCCACATAAGCAGTTTAAAACATCCTCCAGGCAGTGATGTGTTCGAAGTATCTGCTACAATAGGGCTGATCAAGAAGCTCAGAAGTTGAATAGACTGTTTGATTCGAGATTCAAAACTTCCAGCTATGTAATCAGAGAGAGATTAGAAGATGGCTAGTATATAGTCCTGCCAGGCATTTTATCATGTAAATCGTTATTCTTTGGCATCTATTAGTATCACAAAATGGATCATCTGGAAGTAGAAAATGCCCAAAAAATCAATTACATTTATTCCTCTGAAAAGAAGCTTCGGGGAAATTAAACACAGCAGAAATGCTAAAAATGGCTATCCATATCTAGCCCTAATTTCTAATTGGCAAACCTTCGTAGAAACAGTTTGAAAGACAAGTCCACTGTTTTGCCACTGTGCTCAGAAGAAGCTTTTGTTACTCTGCAATTAGCTGGTGTTCCCGCTTTCTGGCAAAGGAACTTGAGCAATGTCCATGTGGATTTCATCTTTGAGGAAAATGGGGCTTGTGGTCAAATGCCACAAAACCTTTTCTTTAGGAAGTATGATTATGGAGGAACCATAGAATTTTCGGGGAAGCATCTAGAGATTCGGTAGAAATCTACAACTTCGTCAAATTTTGTGGCATCTTAAATGATGCATTCTTTCCAAATTGTTTCATAACCCTACGAATTTAGGAATGAGAATTGGACATTTCATGTAAGCTCCCATCCCTTGTGGTTGTCCTTCTCTTATACCTCTAATTTTATCGATGGAAGAAGTCTCAAGTGTCTCCACTAGGCATGATAGGAGCATATCTAATTTGTCCAAAATTGCATTTCCAATTTTATAGCAGCAGAGACTATAGTAGTAGACATAGAAAATTATTTGGGCATCAATAACTTAATAAAAAAAGTTATTCAGCTCATAAATCTGTACTCAGTAACGAATAAAATAAATTTAGAAAGAAAAGAAATGGCACCAGGAGCGTACATTGGAGCCCATGGCATTGCTGCAGAAAAACTTTTAGTCTCAATAAACGAATTAGATAATATCAAAGATTTAACACGTCTTGGCCGATGTTGAGCGAAAAGTTGTGCTAGAAAGCCCCCGAGTGAAGTGCCATAGAGATGTATCTGTGAAAAGTACAGATGTTAAGCTTAAGAAGTCTTTAGTTTGCCAATCATTTCAAAACCATGAATATTGTATATAAGTTGCAATAGTGAACAACACAGTCAATATCTATTATACCAAATTGATTAAAAGAAGCAGAAGAGACCTGCAATCATCATAGAAGGCATCTACTATCAATTTGTCACCATATCAAATCTATCACAATGAAATCAGTCAAGAAAGTTACTCATGCAAATTCTTTAGAGGTCATTAGGATAGCCAAAGCCATTATATTACATTATAAATAAAAAAATTCAAATGATACTCATAACCTGAAGTTGGTATTACAAAATTTTTCTTTTTCATGCATACTAAAATCAAAATCTTACCAACTTTATGGAACCTAGAAATATTTCTACTCTGCTCATAGGTTTCGTGGCAATGTATCACAACAAGTCCTAAATAGTGGTTCATGTTCGGCAAAATTTTGTTTCTAGATCACAGCTTAGCTATTTCAACTTAAATATAATAACCTCAACAAATGCACCCATTCACACAGAAAATAAAATGTGAGGCAGATAATATACAAGCGAATAGAATCGAGTTGTATTTATGACAAGAAAGACAAAGGAAAATAAAATAACATTATGAGATTGACATAA